AATGGACAATAAAAATGGGACGGGAGAGTAATATTCTAATGAATAAAACATTTTACCATTAGAATTAACGACTGGTCACTTTGTTCATTAAATATTAAACTTTTACTACACTAATTATAATTAAAATAGATTTAATATACTTTTAAATGTCTAAATTATATCTCAAATTAATTTTTAGTATCTAAATTGTTTATTGCCTTTCTAAAAAGAATACCAAAGTTGAATTTTTGAACCCTAGTTAGGTGTGAACAAAGGGTACCCCCCCCGGGTTTTATTATATTAATACCTATAATTTTTAGGTACAGAAGACAGATTTTCACGTGTCGACGGGTCTAAGAGGTTGATCGAGGAGCATCGGCAGATCAAGGTGTTAATGGCGGACACGCCGAGCACACGGCTTAGAGAAGTTAAAGCAAAAAGGAACAAAAAATGAAGCCTTGTGGGAAACAGGCATGTTGCAAAAGGACGAAATGTCTGGTTCAAAGAAACTGTCTGAAACTGAAGTTTGAATGATTAATTATTTATTAATTTATTACCAATCGATTGAGTAAAACTATAAAGGAGGAATACTAAATTAAGCTACAACAGGGAACCAGTGCATGGCCAAGGTAATGACACTTAGGGTGCGTTTGGTTCAAGAAATGTAAAATTATCAATTGGAATATAAGATTATCAGGGAATAAGATTACTAGAAATATTGTATTTTGTGTTTTGTTGACTTAGCAGGAATGTAAGATTACCGTGTTTGGTTAAATGAATAAAAGATTATTAGAATGTATATTTAACAAAATTATCTTTATTATATATTTGTTTTTTTAACAAGTTGGAAAATATTTATAAATTTTCTTTAAAAAATTTAAATTCATAAAATTTATATAATTTATTTTACAAAATTGAAAATATAAAAAGGTTTAATGAAATGATAAAATTATATTTTAACTCTGAACTTCATATAAAATTTTAATTATAGATTTTTTAAAAAATCTAAAATAGTATAAGGATAAATTTATAATTTAACATTCGTAGAATTTTTATTATTCAATGACAGAAGAATAATATTTTTGAAAGGAAAAAAAATTAAGGGCATTTTAGTCCAAAACGCCGATAATCCAACAATACCTAAGGAAAGGAAAATAATGACATTCCCGATAATATACCCAAAAAATCTACTATTGATAATGTTACATTACCAGAAATAGGATTCCCGGACTAATCAAACGGGGGAATATGGATTTCATTCCCATAAAAATCTCACATTCCCCCATCCAAACACCCCCTAAGAAGTCAAGCCAAGAGTCTAATTAAAAGGCACTATTAAAAATTTGATTAACCAAACTAATGGTTTTAAACAAAGTAAGTAAAAATAAAGCAATTGATATTTTCTTATTCAAAGTCAAAGTCAATCGAGGTTCATCTAGAAATAAGGCAACTTTACTATCAAAACATAACCAATAACCGTTTTCAGGTACAAGTCGTTTCTTTGAAAAGAGCCCTTTTCACTATACCCCACTACTAGAAACTAGTCGGTGGAACCTACAATCTAGACCCAACACGCGGCGGATCCTACGGTCAAGACAACGAGACGGTTGAGCTCGGTCCCGGAGTTAAGATTAACGGCCCTACGAGAGACACGCGTCGGAATCTCGGAAGGTGAATTATACGAAGTTTGGTTTTTTGGTAACGGAAAACATGGGGAAGTCAACAACTCAAAATAACTACATAATTAACAAACAGAGACCACGACTACACGGCGCGTGAGAAGCAAGCGTCGTAAAGCGCGGCGGAGACTAGACGCGCGATTCACTCGCGTGTGTCGCACGGAGAATCGTTGGGGATTAACGAATGAATCGACATTGTTGTTTGCGGTACATATATATGCATGTAGAAAAATAAATAACGATAAAAACGAAGAAAATTGCGTACCGAAATAGGAGCGATTTTCTCGAGAAAATCGAATCGACGAAGCGGAGAAAATAACAAAGGACCGCCAGTATAAATTTTCTTTTTTCTTTTCAGGTTATGGAGAGAGCAAAGGAAAACGAAGATCGAGGTGGAAGAGAAAGGCTAATGAGTGGTTTAATTTATAGAGGGTGGAGAGAGGGGGTTTCGGGAGGAAACTTCTTTTTGTTAAAAAAAATATTTTCTTTCTTTTTATTCAAAACTTCCTACAATTTTACCATAATTTGATCTTTCCCGAGATTGCTTCGGTATCACCAAATATTTCATTCCTTTTTTGTCTTCCTTTTCTTGTTTAATTTCACTCCCGGTCGCTGCACTTTTCGGATTCTTTAAATATAATCCTTTTTACATTTATTTTCATAAATTTAAGGGTAAACTACGCAGGTAGTCCCCTATGCTTTTCATCTGACCGAATTTGGTCACCGATTTAAAAATTAAGGGGGAATGATCCCTAATGTTCTCAATCCGTTTGATTTTAATCCATCGATCGCTAACTCCCGTTCGATATTAGTCCCTCGGTCTGTTATGGAATAAAACAAAAGGGGTTAACAAAAATTAGTGGTCGAGGGACTAAAATTGAACGGATCGATAATGCTAAGGAACATTTCCCCTTAATTTTTAAATTGATAACCAAAGTCGATCAGACCCTAGACATGGGGGACTATCCGCATAGTTTACCCTAAATTTAATTTGAGATTAGTTTTTTATTTGATTAATTAATTTGAAATTAGAGTTGCACTTGATAATTATGTTAAAGAGTTCATGTTAAATTTAATTAGATATATTTGAATATGATTTATTTGAATAATTATTATAATGGATAAATATTATTAGATTAAATATAGTTAGAATATATCAATTATATTCTTCAATTCATTGTATTAATTAATAACATAAATTATACGTTTAGTATCTAAATTACCAATTTAAGTTTTATTTAGTATCTACATTTTTAAATTTTTTTAAATCATACCTAAAATTTAGTTTTCGTTTTATTTTAGTACCCCATTAAAAATTTAACGTTAAATTTTAAAAAAATTGAAAGTTTAGGTACTAAAACGGGCCAAAACTGATAGTTTAGGTACTAAACGCATTAAGTTTTTAACGGTGGATACTAAAATGAAATGAAAATAAAAAAAATTAGATATGATTTTGAAAAAATTGAAAGTTTAGGTACTAAAATGGATGAATATTGATAATTTAAATACTAAATTCGTAGTTTACCCTAATTAATATTAATTACTTGTACGATCAAGTTGTGATTTTTAATTAATTTATTTAGATATTATATAAATAAAAAAATTAACAATATTTATTATCATTTTTTAGAAGAAATTATCAATTATTTTTCTAACTAAATTTATACCCGATTAGCACTTACTCCGTCTTAATCACGGATTTAATATATTTGTTACCACTGTAATTTCTCCTGAATTTCATCGCAATTTCTTCTAATTATTTCAAAGTATCATTAGACGTAACTGATAATATATCATTGACAGTCATTGTATCGAAGCAAATGACTGTAAATTACTTTTTTACAGAGAACTATGAAATTTTAACCCAGCTGATTTAGGGGAATAATTACATATATAATACAATAATAATACACCAACCACAATAGGATAGTAAAGTATTATCTTATAACTACAACATTATATTAATACATAAAACGTGTGCAGACGATTCACAGGAAAACCTAATACATAATCTTATCTCGTGTTATTTTTCTATCTCAATTTGACCGTCCAACTCAGAAAATAAACATAATATTGCCTTTGACCAATGTTTTTTCGTCATTCACAGTTACGGTGTTGATGTGGCAGTTCACGGTGCTGACATGAAAGTCCATGGTAATCCAGAGTGATAGATTAACGTGACGGACAGGAACAGAGTTATATAAGAAGTGGGAAGGGCACTTTTCCAATCCTAATTTTTTTTGGTTTAATAGTATTTTAGATCCATATCAGTTTGAATTTAACTAAAATTGGATTTTTCCTCATTTTAGATTAAATACATAATAAGTCATTATTTTGAAATTTAGTATCTTTCCTTTTCAATATTTTATCATGGTTCCGTCCCTGGTGGTGAATGACATGACAGATGAGTTAAAATTAATAATTTAAATATGGTAAATGGATTGTCACGTCAACACTGTGGACCACCAAGTCAGCATCGTAAACTGACACACCAGTACTATAACGATCAACGATGAAAAAATTGATAAAAAACTATATTAAATTTATTTTTCTTGAGTTGAAAACCCATACGGATAGAAAAAATAATATGAAGGGCCACTGAAACCTCAATACCTTTTTCATGTTGATTTTTAATTGATATTTCATTAACTTGATTATTTTATTCATATTAATCATATCAATTTTAAATTTAATAAATATTAATTACCTATTGTTATGATAAAATGATATATTAGATTATTTAAAATATATAAGAAAATTCAATATTGTTCGTTTAGAAAATTTTGAATATTGATGTTTTATATAGAATAAATTGGATTGAGGGGATAATTTAATAATAAATTTATGCGTAATTTAAGTTAAATTAATAAATTAATGGATGAAATTTAACTTTTCAAAATTTTAATTTCAAACTGATATACAATTTCATCTAAAAATTAATGGAATTTACCCATGAAACTTCCTTGGATTTATTTTAAAAGAGAAAAAGAAAATTCATGGTCTTCGCTCCCAATTAATAAGGAAGAAGATTGGTCTTTAGACTCTGCGTTCAACTGTCGGCAAGTCTTCTGCATTCCTTGTCAACACCGACATAATTTTTTCAAAAAAGAACATTTTATTTAACTAAATTTATTTAGGGTTAATTACTATTAAAAATTACAAAATGATATTTCGATTATAGAATGATACTTTATTAAGTCTTTAAATATTAAAATTTACAAAATATCACCGGACCATTCATTATGGTCAAAATGATCAGTTAATAGATTAACTTGAATGGATTATTGGATTTCAACTAAGCATAGAGATGAAAAGAGTGTAGAAATGGGAACAAACAGGACATTGCAAATTGTCACCTTGTTATATATGCACATTGGCCACAAGGCACATGCAGATTTCAAGCTTAGAAACTAGATTTCCAATGAATCCAAACATGCATATGCAGTACTACAAGGACTTCTAATCACGCGCTTGGGGATAGGGACTGGGTGGATCTGCCTTGTCGTGGTGGAATCTCACCACGATGCATGTTATATTGTCGGCACTCCCTCGGGTGAATGCTATCTCCGTCAACTTTCTAGCAGATGTCTCCGGTTCTTCTTCTACTCGGGCAAGCGAAACAGCATCCTGAAAACACAATGTTTTTAACTCATAACGTGCAAAATAGTAGGAAACTATTCGTAGCAAAACATCAACTCGTGTGCACTGGTTTCCTACCCCTTTCTATTTTTCTTTCCTTATTCACTAGTTAAAATGTCCTGGATAACTAGTATGTTCACTCTTGGATGCCGCTCAAACACGACAACTTATGGAATGTAACGTTAAATCGGCAAAGCTTATCTTATGCAAGTTCCTTCCCTAACACAATAGTTCAAAACTCTTGAATAACAATTACTTTGACTCTTAGACACTCCTCGAAAACAAAACACAGTGCATGCCTGATACATGGATAAATTAAGTGCAACCATGCACATGTTAGAAAGGTTTACCTCATTAGGCACTACATCCCATAATCCATCACTAGCAAGCACAAGAAATTCAAACTCTTCATCTATCTCTTGGTCCTGAGAAATAACATAAGGAATAAAATCTTCATTAATGCAAAACAACCTGTCAAGGATTTAATGGAATGAGATCAGAAGGGAGAGTAAAGTTTGCAGGGTAAAACTGGTATGGTTTCTAATGAATGTCTATTCAGAATCGCTTTATTAGATCGGTTGCCAACTAAAGAGAGGCTCCCGAGCATGGGAATGGTTGAGCAGCTGGATTGTAATCTTTGCAACAATGGAATTGGCGAAAGGGATCATATCTTCTTTGTTTGTCCCTTTTCAAAGAAGATCTGGGAGTAAATTCTTAGACTCTTCCATATTCAAAGCAGGGTTCTCAGCCGTATAAAGAAATTCAATGGGCCTTATAACAAGGCTTAAAGGCTAATATCTTCTAACTTTTATATTGGAGCTAGCCTTGGCTGCTTATATCAATATGATTCAGTGTGAGAGAAACAGAAGGATTTTCAGAAATGAACAGTGTAGAGGAACAAATTGTAGGTAGGATTAAAGAAATTGTTCGATTGGAAAATGTAAATAGTAGACTCTATTTATTGAAGGCTAGTAGATTTTGACAGCAATGTATAGAATATAGGTACAGAAGCCACTTGTATGATGTTTCTTTGTAGCAGATTTCTGCTTATTCTTGGATAATACAAATCGATTATCCAAAAAAACCATTAACCCAATTTTCAAAACCTACGCTACTACCTTTTAAATCAATTCTATGAGCGTTGAGTTGTAATCAGATCACCATAAGTAATAGAATCAAAGAACCAATTAAGATGGAGCAAGGGGTGGTAGAACTCAGGAAAAGGGGGAGACTAAGGTATTCACCCCTATATTCAAATTAAGGAACAAAGAGCACATTAGCGCTGGATTCTAACATATCAGGTTTGACTTTTAGGATGTTTGTGGTCAATAGAGAAAGATGAATATAAAAAGCAACTTTTTAAGATATTCTCATGAGATGATGTTTCCCCTACATGAGCTCTTAATATTAAACACAAGGCAATATAATGGAAGAAAATAATTGCAAGATAAGATAAAATGTAATAATGATTAAAGATTAATAGCTCGTTGATATATAATTTTTAGGATCACCTGAATATCTGGTTCAGCAACAACATATTGTTTCAACATTCGATTACCGAAAGCTCGAGACATAGCTAATACACCTCCTACCCTCCAAGTTCCTGATAACATGATCAAAAATAAAATTTATGATGAACTTTCAGGAGTCAGCTCTACCAATTTAATCACAAGGTATAATGGAAAATATTTGTCTTGACTTCAATAAGACAAGATGGATCTTTAAACAGTTTACCTGCCCACACAACAACCCCTCCAGCATTTTCAATTCTCTTCTGTTCATCACTTCTATTTGGTTTATGATCTTCAGAAAGTGGGATAGCTTTATAAGGAAAAGAAACTGCTTTTAGGAATCTCAATTTGCAAATTAAGAATTCGCAACATTCATTTTCATGTCAAGTGTAGTTACTCTAACAAAGCCATAGGCTTCATATGTAAGATACACCAATCCCTAAAAAATGTAACGTACATTTCATATTATATATAGCTCATTAATGATTACTGACCATACTCATGAGTAACAGTAACTAGGTTAAGATAAGTAGAAGGTAACCCACAATATCTAAATACAAAATAATGTGACATGACCATTCATTTATATTAGAGGACAGAATAAAGAAAAACTCAAATGCTTTCGGAATATGGTGCATGGCTTTCTTTCCTTTACTGGCCCCTTAGAGCAAAGCAATTTCAAGGAGCTATTCACGATCATCATTGAGTAAAAGTGTTTAAAGGAAGCATATACTACCGCATGTATTGATGCACTTGTTACTAACATATCAATAAGCACTAAAAATGCATAGAATACCTTTTCCAGCCTTTGATATTATAGTTCGTGAGTCTCCAACATTGGCAACATATAGATGGTTACCAACCAACACTGCAGTTGAAGCAGTTGAACCATCGTCTCGATAAGTATCTCTTTCAGAATCCAATAAATCTGCATCAGTCTGTTGATATGTTTCACCTGCAAGCATATCCATTGAAGCCAATATAAATTACGGAAAACTATCAAATGGGTTGATTATATTTATGTGGACACAAGCCCATGAGAATGCAACCTAAAGACTCGAAACAAAACAGAGATACAAGTACTTGCGATTGCATGGATCCTTTACAAAATTGACAACAAAGGACATGCAATAATTTATATGCTCCATAACACGGCATGTCAGAGATCTTGAATGCACTTATTGCAAGTTTGGTGTCAATCGTGAACTGTGGATGCTTCATTAGTTTCTCAAAAAGGAATTGCTTCAAATACTCAGCAGCACGAGAACCACCATGCCCTGCAATTGCAAATGATAGTGGTTAAAATCACAGGTTAACAAAAGCTGTCATTCTCAGACATGAATGGCATCTTACTCTCAGGAAATTTTACTTATCATCCAAGAAAGCATTGCTGGGCTTACAATATAAATAGGTCAAAACTCAAATCATACATCCGGAGGCACTTTTGAGATGCTTATTAAAAATAAGACAGATGGATTATCATAATCACATATTGGCTTCTACTCTGATTTAAATGAAATCACAAGAAAGCTTAGAAGATGTCTTTGACCAAGGAAACATTGGACACTTATGCCACTAATTAGTTGTAAGCATGTCCCAATACACTACTCCAAGGTTATTGAACTTGTTCAGATTATATGCACACAGATTTTTTTTTTTTTTGATAAGATTTGAAGGTCTCTTTAAAAACCTCCTTCTTGATTAATGGAGCTTGTAAAGAAGCTTCTTAATCATCGGAAGGAGGAAAAGAGTGCCTTATAATTTCATTGAAGAAAATAAGAATTACAACCTTGGAAAGAAAAATCCAAGTAGAACCCTTACAACAATTCTTGAGCCTTAAAACCGAACTATAGAAGTCAACAACATAATAATCAACCTATACCAGCCTTTGCTAGAGCATCGGCATCCATATTAGCTGTCCTTGCAATCCATCTAACAACCCCCCCGACAGTTTTAAGACACTCAACAATATCTCTAACAATGAAACCATAAACAGCTGGACATGAGACAACCTTATTGATCCAGTCTACTGCAACTCTGCTATCACTCTCTATGATCAACCTATCTTTAACCCTCCCTAGGACAGAGGTAAAGAAAGAGATACCCCTTTGGATAGCTTTAAACCACAAACATATCATACCATCAGCAAACTTGTATGTTTTAGCATTTCTTTGCATTATCAGTCTTGTGGTAGTGAAAATCCAGATCCTGGGAAAAGACTAGCCCCAGATTGTAGTAAGTACTTCTTCAATGATCCTTTTGGACGGTACCCACTAAGCGCTTTTAAATAATATGTTACCTCAAATTTATAGTCTTTTATTTCACATCGTTTTACAAAGAAAGCAATGATAAGAGAGAAACTAACCATCAAAGATTCCAAACAAGCAGACTGTCTGCCCATTAATCTTGGAAGTTTTGATATCATAGCAATCTTCCATGGTTGCTCTCTTTCCCCTGAAGCTTGAATAACCGCAGCTTAGTTTTCCATCCTCACTGCCAAATCAGAGTAAGAAATGTACTATGAAACATATCAACACATATAAGATTCACATTATTGAATTCTTTATATTGTATAAACAGTCACTGACTACCACTATCAGAACTAAATCTAGCTTTCCATCATTAGTTATTATGTTCACTGAACCATACTTCAAACATGCAAAGTACAGATCAAAATCGAATCTGACGATAATTATTATTCACTATACAAGTACCTTCCTGGCAAAAATTATCCAGAAACAAAGTCATAAATTTCTAGCCGCCAACATGCATGTTTGATTCTAAACCAATCATGGCATTCATGAAAACTGGCTGTGCTTATAGCTCGAACTATAAGACAAAAACAACTAATTAAAACCGGTTGGAAAACTAATATTTACCTTTTCCACCCTCCACTAACATATCCACCATCATCTTTCTCAGGGAATTTATGGACAACAGGACCCTGGCTTGCCGCAGCACCTGAATCAACCATCATCTTAGTACTCGTTCGGAAGTCACGATTCCACCGAAAAGTTAATCCAGCACCACCGGCATATAAAGTCCTGGCAGTACTTCGTAAATGCAGCCTTTTCCAGGTTAATATTGTTCCTATCTGCCCAGTTTGAACAATTATACTCTTTAAACAACTGTTGCATACCATCTAAACTGTTGTCTCACTTATGGCTTTCTAGAGCCAGATCTTCAAAACCACGCACAATGGTGCAAACCAAAATCATTAAAAATATATAAAATCAACAAGATTTTTTAACTTTACAAATATAACTATTCAACACAGTAACTAATTCTCAAACGGTCGTTCAATAAAAGAACGACGCAATTAACTCCAGTAATTCGCATAGACTAAATAAATCGCTTCCAACAAAATTGAATCAGTACACGTTCATGTCGAATATTCTAGTAGCATATGTTTTTAATCAACAGCTTTTAATATCCATAAGGAAAATCTAGCAAGATTAAGCTGATATTTTGAATTACGTAAGTTTAACCAACCCAATAACATATATATATATATATATATATATATATATATATATATCGAGAGAGGGGGAATCAAAATCTGACATTCGGTTTTGTTGTAATTAATTCATTCGCTGAGCTGATAAATAATCAAAAGCGCATCATTTAACGATCAACTCTAAACGAAAATAAACAAACAAAAAGGGGATCTCTCTCGTCCATAATTTTGGATTAAAAAAGGTGGGGGAAAGGATCGGATCGGGTCGGGTCGAGGTTAGAACACGTGGAGGATCTAAATCTGAAGTGGAGACCAGTGGAAATCGACCGCGAAGGTAATTGTAGAAAAAATAGAAAACGCGACGAGAATCTGAAACCCTAGAGAGAGAGAGAGAGAGGGAGGGAGAGGGGAGAAAGCGATGTGAAGAGATAAGTAGATAGAGAGAGTACGGGATGGAAAGACGATAGTGAGAGAGAGAGCTGGCGAACTTGGGTAGGCTGGCAATGAAGAGGAGGCGCAACGTGGCACTCTTCAATCTTCATACATCTCTCTTTACTGGGGAGAGGATAGACCTAGTCCTTGTAATTTCAATGTTTCCAAGTAATTTTAGGAGTGTATATGGTTTTTTTTAATTAATTTAGGATAAGTTGAATATAATATTTGTTTAAAATAATTTTTAAATTTTTAATAATAAATCTTTATATCCTTGATATCTATGGTATTCGAAGTCGAGTCCTCAAAGAAAAACAACAATATTTAAACTATCAATTTTGATATATTTTTAGTACCTAAACTTTTAATTTTTCAAAAACTATACTTAAAGTTTAATTTTTGTTCATTCTAGTAACCCTCATATAAAAAATTTAATTTTTATTTCATTTTAGTACCCCATTTAAAATTTAACATTAAATTTTAAAAAATGAAAGATTAAGTACTAAAATTAATTAAAACTAATAATTTAGGTACTAAATACGTTAAGTTTTTAACTATGTGATATTAAAATAAAATGAAAACTAAATCTTAGGTATGATTTTAAAAAATATTAAAAGTTTAGATACTAAAACGGATAAAAATTAATTGTTTAGATACTAAATCTGTGATTTATCTATAAAATATTAATTAACTCATATACAATATTTTTTAAGTTATTTTTCTGTTTAAACCTAAAATATTACATTATAAAAAGTAATTATGAATTAAGTTTGATTTCGAACAATTATAATTCATAAGATAAAAAAAGACCATTTCTCTAAATAATTTTTTTTATATTAATTTCATAATTGATTTTAAAATAAATATTTTTCTCATAAATTAAATAGAGGAAAGATGATTTTTAGTAAAGTTGAAAAATCAAATCTTTGACCAACGCCAACGGCGTGAATATAAGCCGCCAATCGTGTGGTCGAGCATGTATATGGAAGTGCTTTAGGTTTAAAATTCCAATTGAAATATAAAGATATTCTCAAATAATTTATTTTCAATTTAAAAATTATTTTAAAATATAACTATTGACTCAAACTAACAAAACAAAGAACCGATATTTTTACGTTAAAAAAAACTCGTATTTCCAAACCAACAAATTAGCATTTCTCATCAGATATTTTTTTAGCACAAACAAACTAATTTCAGTAGTAAAAGAATTATAATTACTCTTTAAAGTCAAGACTCTAACACCAAAAATGTCAAGATATAAACGTTTAATATCAAATGATAATGAATTATTTTTGAACAAATATTACCTTATATTTATCCCAAATTAATATATATATATATATATATATATATATTAAAAAAAGTAAAAGAGTTCCATCAGCACTCTTGCACAGAATCCCTCAACCTCTTTTTTCTAGGGGTGTTCAAATAACCGAACTAATTCGGTTAAGAAACAAGCAATGATACCTTATTTTTGTCATCTTTTTCTTCAGGTGTTTCAATGTTGTCAAGTCCATAACACTGACTTGAAAGACATTTGAAGCACCACGAATCAGGCAAGCACACTACTGCATCACAACCCGTTCGATTAAGTCTCCTATGCTACGTATTCCTTAAAATTAAACCATAACACATACTAGAATGGCTCCAGTTGCACCTACAAGTTGGAAACGTTTATTTACTATCTATGTCCTGAATGGGAGTATTTCAGTTTATGAGAAAAAGTTAAGTAACCAATCGCAAGTCTACATATTTGATTCCGGGAGAGGCAGGTTCCTTGTTCTGGAGCATCAGTCTCGAAGTAGCCTCACCTCCCTCTTCAGGAATGGAGGTAACGCAAAAGCAGCCCTATGCATCTGTCAATAGAGAATAAAGATTTTATATCAACCATAAAATGGTTCGAGGTCCGTCGTAGATCACAAAAGAAATTACAGTAAAAGGGATAAGACTTGGCAGGCCCATATGCTAAGCCATCGAGAAATAAAATGGACCATCACTCTAACTCGATGGGGACACGGGGTTCATTTCCTTGCAAGAAACGAATATAATAGCTTCAAGGAGGCAATGTTCATAGCAAAAGTTAATACCGGGTACCCTGCAGAAGAGTGAAAGCTGAACTTGATGGAATGAGTTCTCACCTCAGAGTTGTAAAATCTAAGTTCTCTCTTATGATGGTAAGCTCCGTCTAGCTTCTCAATAGGGTTTATGGGATTCAGAAAATCAACAGGTTGTCCCTCTGTGGAGCATAACAGGAAGCCAATCACACCACTGCATTGCAAAAGAAAAGAGGAAAACAGAAGTCAGAAACGAGATACGCAATGATTCTGCAATTGGTTAATGATAACATATAAAATTATCACTGTCAAAAGCATCATTAATATCTAAAAGAGAACCAAGGGGAAACAACAGCTTACTTAAATACCTAGGATAAGTTGGAACACTTGTCCATGCATAATGAACACAACCCTTGAATGTTTCACGGCAAACAGAAAGCATATCTTCAATTAAATGTGTATGAAGCCACATACTCTCCGCCATGTTACAGAGGACACCACCAGGCCTTAATGCTTGTGCTATAGTCTCAAAAAATGGTTTTTCTACAAGCTCTTGAGCAGGACCTAAATTGCAAACAGAAATACCATGTAAATATTCTTTACGAAACCATCAATGCTGTAAATAAATTTTTATCAGATCATACATTGCAACATACCTACAGGATCTGATGAATCAACAATGATCGCATCATACTTTGCTTTTGGAACATGACGAAGAAACTCAATAGCTGTTAAGATTATATGCAAGTAAACATCAGTTTGGGAATTAAAGCATTATGATTGACCACTCAACAGAAAATTCACATTAAAAAAGGAAAATAAATGAAACACAAAATATTTATTATTGCTTTCACATACCATCACCAACATGAAGATGAACGCGAGGGTCCTCAAATCCAACAGCTAATTCTGGAAAGAACTTCTTGGAAACCTATAAAAATGTTATATATGGCTACTAAATGAGCATTTTCATACAAAAGGTAAAAGGAAAGGAAACAAGAATAGATACTAAAATACAACATACATCTATAACCATCTTATCTATTTCGCATATATCAATGTGCTCAACAGAGCTGTGCCGAGAAATCTCCCTAAGGACCCCACCATCACCACCTCCAACAACCAGGACCTGCATCCAATATTTAGGTAAAAATCAACATCAAATAACCTTGTGGCTAAAATAAATCTTTCCGGAACTGAGGCTAGATACGAAGATTTGATAAAGCAGAAAAAAATTAAGACTGATCAGCCATCAAGAACTTTGAATCAACCAAACAGCATCTGGATTTTGATGACAGAAAAGACCAACCAATTTCAATAGGCTTTCTGGCACAAAACTTCATCAAGATTATCTCATTATGCAATCTTAGAAAAATAAATAAATTCAAATGTCAACTTAGAAATTGAACGAAAGAAAGTAGGATAAGTTCATCAATAGATGAAATTGATGAAGATATTAGAAAGATAAGATTACAGTTTTGGGAGATGGAATTGAACAAAGTGGAAGATGAGCTATCATCTCCTGATATGCACATTCATCTTTCTCGGTCAACTGAACTATTCCATCAAGAACAAGCACTTTCCCGTACGTTGATGACTGTAGGGAAAAATGTATTTTCATCAGCAAGACTATGCATAATGAATCTAAGAAAAGAGGCAAGCCAAGCGAGGAGGAAAAATAGATAGGAAGCAACTACAGGTAGACAGAAAAGGGAATAGAAAACACAGTTAAAAAGCCAAACCTCAAAAACAAGGACCTCTTGGTAGTCTGATTTCTCCTTGAATAAAATGCTTTTAACTTTCAGAGAATGTGCTTCTCCTGCAGCAAAAACTTCAAGCATTGTAATTGTAAATTAAGAATGTGGTGCAATGTGTAAGAGGTACTCACTAGTTCAACTCAAGAATCCTAAGCTCTAATTTCATCGAATAAGTTACTACAATAAATTATAAAAGGGAGACTGGGCTCTAGCACAATGAGAAGGTAAAGAATAAAGATACTTTAAAGAATTTCAAACATATATAAACCACAAAAGAAATTAAAACTCACCAGGCCACATAGGATTGTTGAAGTAGACCATTTTACCAGCTTTATCTGTGAGTGCTGATAAAAGAAAAATAAAGATCAAACCGAGTAATTCTTGTAAAAGAATGAAAAAGAACAGGAAAAGGCTAATTAAAAGATAAAGACCAGAGGAAGACTGAGATTCCGAGAACCACCCAGAAACAACAGTTGAATGGCATTTTGCCTCAAGCTCAGGGGCTGAAACCCTGGCCTTCAAGCAACAAGAAGGGACAACCTTCTCTGAGCCACTCCCACTATTCACCTTCCCATCCATAATCTTCTGGCATTCCAAATCTCTTCCTGCGTCTTCCCCCATAGATTATTTTTTTCTTCTTCGGCTCCAGCCTCTACAAGTTAAAAAAATTATAAGCTCCCTTCTTAAAGGAGAAGAAAAAAAACACATGTAGGCACATGCAGTTTAAAATATTTTTAGCATAATCATTCAAAAAAAATATGCATGATGATATATAGAAGTAAAGATGTTTCTTTTAGGAAAAAAATAGTAATTTTCATAATGTCCCCTACGAAAAAAATAGCATCAGATTCCTTGTTCTTCAATCACTAATTTGATACATTCCTCAACATTGTTAAAATTATAATAATAAGCATCAAAGAGGGGGGATTAAAGAAAAAATGTGATGCACCAGAGAACTTTGGCAGCAGAAATTCCAGGCCCATTGGCTCGTCAAAGTGATTAAGGAACTAAAAAATATAACCTAATCACCTAAAGTAATACAAGAAGATTCTGCAATCATACAATAATAATAATAAAAAAAAGAATACAAAATCAAACCACAATGATTGAACTCACATGCTATTATTACAGAAAAACAGAATTTATAAATTTTAAACGAAAAAAATTAAAAACAACCTAAACTACTAAACTATATGCGTTTCTTAAACGAGTATAAAACAATAGAAACGCTGCTTTTGTAAATGATCAAAGCCAAGATCATCAAAAGGACGTCGGTTAGTCTGAATAACATATATCAACAAGGGAAGAGTCGGAAACTATTATTCACTGCAATTAACCCAAGTTAACATTCAGTTTTCGCTTACATTACATAAACGAACAGACATACAAAAAATTAAAATCAACGCAAAGCTCCGATTCTCTCCCGCGAAACTCTCAAAGTGGAAGGAACTAGGGTTTTGAAAAGCTAAATCAAAACAAAGAATCTCAAAACCAACGATTTTCAAACTCACATAAATCAACAAAAAAAAAGAGGAAAAATGGAAAAATCGAAGTGTCAGAGATCATGCAGCAGCGACGAACATATTAAACAATAAAAATTGAGAAAAAATGCAAATCGAAAAAGAAAAAGAGATAAATAGAAATAAATTCTGAACGCAGAGAGAACTGAATATTTAAATAAAGAAGAAAAAAACCTTGCCTGGTCTTATTGGCAGTGAGAATTTGATTCGAGACTCTGAGCAATCTAGAGAGTCCAAAGAGCGAGCGGGAAAGGTTACGGTGAAGGGGGGAAATAATTGTTTCTGATTATATTATTCAGTTTGGGTTGTTCGACGCTTGCCTACTTATTTGTTTGGATAAACTACACTAACGGTCACTATTTTTTATATTATTTTCTTTTATCACCACTAAAGTTTAAAAATTTATATTACAATCATTATTATTATGGATTTATAATAAAATGATCGCTTGTTATTCTCCCTTAAGGTTCTGAGTTATACATGCGTTGTCAATGATTAAACAAGGTTTTAAACATATATTATCCTTATAATCATTCTATTACTATATTAATTTTAGAGTAAAGTACACAAATAGTCCCTCAACTATATGATACTACTTTATTGAGTGTTTTGACTAAAATGGTTCTTTGACTACAGAGAGTTATTTTTTGAATCCCTTGACTATTAAAAGTTATAAAATGGTCACTCTCTCATTATGTTCCAAACTCGTCATTTTCCGTTAAAAAATTAACGGTCGTATAAGTTGGGCAATTAACATGTTAATTGAGATATTATAGTCGTTTGAAATTATGAGATCAGATTTTTATTATATCTCAATCAGCATGTTAACGTACAGTTCAGACCGTCATCAATTTTTTAACGAAAAATGACGAGATTGGAACATAATGAATAGTTGGAATACTATTTTGTAACTTTTAATAGTCGAGGGACTCAACAAATCATCTCCCTATAATGAGAGGAACATTTTGTATTTTTCATAATCGAGGGATTTAATAAAATATTATCCTATAATTGGGGATCATTTGTGTACTTTTCCCTAATGTTTGTTATGTAAGGTACATTAATATTATATGTTATGGCTCGTTAAATTAATGATTTGCCGTACTTTATCCACGTTAAATAATTTGGCAAATTAATATTACATGATATGGCACGTTAAATTAATAGAACATATTTTTAAACGTGGTCTACTTCTATATTTAATAGAATTAAATCGTGCTTTAGAAACGTCGATTCTATCCTCACTATTTAATCTATAAATAACGAACAATTTTATTCTTTTATATATATATATCCTCAACAAATGACATTTGCTTGAAACACTCTTCTTAGTTTTCTTAAACCTTTTATGAGTTATTTGAGTTGAGAGAAGAGAAATACCACCTAAGTTCACTTTAATTTTCGGGTGTGCGAATTCTTCGAGAGTCGTGTTAATCTCCGGGGGGTCGTTCGTCCATTAAAGTGATTATACACGTCGGGCCAAATTCGTTTCTAAGCCTGTTATAGTAATTTCACTACATCAAAAGTGTTCTGTAAAGGCGTTTTTAGCGGCGTTTTAAGAGAAAACGCCACAAAATTTAAGCATATCACGGCGTTTACTATCCAAACGCCATAAAATGATATTTTAGCGGCGTTTTTTAAACAAACGTCGTAATAGAGTGGTAATTTAGCGGCGATTATAGCTAAAACGCCGTAATAGATATGTTTATAGTGGCGTTTTTTCAACAAACGCCGTAATAGAGTGGTAATTTAGCGGCATTTTTACACAAATGCCGCTATAGTGTTGTTTATAGTGGCGTTTGTTTAACAAACGACGCTATAGAGAAGTAATTTAGCGGCGTTTATCAAACAAACGCCACAATAGTATTGTTTATAGTGGCGTTTGTGCAAAAAATGCCTTAATAGAGTAATAATATAGCGACATTTGTCCTAAAAACGCCGCAATATGTTGTTTATCATGGCGTTTATATTAAAACACCGCAAAAATATGAACTATAGTGGCGTTTTTTAAAAAAATGCCACAAAAGGGTCAATATATGCTCTCTTGCCCAATCCCTAAAATCATTTCAGTGCTACTTCCCTAAAAGATATTTCTCTGGTACAACAACAACCCTAACACGATTGCAGCCGACGTCGTCTTCTGTAAGTCTCGGCGACCAAATTTGCCCTCTCAGTAGCGAACAATTATCTCACGATTGCACGGTTTGATCCATTCTCTCACTACTGAACTTTTTTCATTTATTTTTTGTTGGTATTCTGAAAATGGGAAAAACCCAGAAAGCTAACGTAATGGAGAAGTATAATAGCTTTCGAATAGGAAAAGAATATATATACATATTTTTTTACTGGTTTACAGCTTGGGAGAAGTGTTTTTTTGTTTTCGAATAGAAAAATAATTGCTTTTGAAAACGTGAACAAATGGTTGTGGTACAAAGAGCAGGTGTTGCATTCAGTAAGATAAATTATAGTCGGAATGTCCACGTGGCGTCTTTGCTCTGACGATGGATCAAATTATCGTTGGGAGGCTATCAGTTCAAACTTGCCGTCCAAACTCAATGATGACCCGAAAGGCCCTCCTATTGCAAAACACCCTTCCATGTCCGATCTCCTAAATGAAGGTAATAATTAATCGCTGAAAGTTTGTGGCGCTAATTTTTTTTTACTATAAAATTTCATAGATCGCACGCATGTAGGATGTTCAAAGTTTATTGAGAACAATGATAGAGGAGCTGATAAATACCCGATGTTTAGAACCGAATTTGGTAACTCTGTGGCATTGAAAGAATCTTCAATAGCAAAAGCAATATCTATCCTCAATGAAGAATATGTTACCCCTACTGTTACTCCAAGTAAACCTTTATATCATCTATTTAATTTTTTTTAATGTTTGATTATGTTTCCAAGCCACCTCCAATCAAGTTTCATATTTTAGGTGGAAGGTCGTTATCTGTTTCAAGTGAAGCACTGAAGAGCGCATGGAGTCTTCTTGGTGAACAGGAGGTAGGGGATTTATTTGGTGAAATGGATGAAGAGTTTCTCCATATAGAGTTTTCACGGAGGAAAAACTTAACGATGAGTCGTCAAACAAGGAAAACAACTTTTTTACGTCATTTCCCCACGAAGGAGCAATGAAGACTAAATTCTAGTGAACAATATTGTTAAGACTGTTTATGCATAACTTTAATGTTGGAGTGGATTTTAATGTATTTTGTTGTTAAGTAAATTGTATGCATAACGTGTGCCTTAATTAAAATATATGGTTGTTGTTAATTAAATTAAGCGTTATGATAGTAAATTAAGTTTATGTAGAGAAGAAATGAAATATTTAAAATCAATTAATCTTATATAAATAAAGGTAATTAGCGGCATTTGTATCAGAAACGCCGCCATAGACCTAACTTTTACGGCGTTTGTATAAAAAAATGCGCAATATGTTCATCTATAGTGGCGTTTTTCCAACAAACGTCGTTTCAAGGATAATGATTTAGCGGCGTTGTTATTAAAACGCCGCTATAGAGGGCTACTTTAGTGGTGTTTCTAAACAAAAATGCTGCTAAATATTTGGACATTAGTGGCATTTTTATACAAACACGGCAATAGATTTAATATTTAGTAGCGTTTTTTAATAAACGCCGCAATATAATATAAGTTTAACAACATTTTAAAGAAAACGCCGCTATAGAGGCTTAAGTTAGTGGCGTTTTGAAACACAAACGCCACGCAACATTTGGACAGTAGTGGCGTTTTTTAAGTAAACACAACGATAAAGTGCAACTATAGCAGCGTTTGGATGACAAACGTTGCAACTTTCTATAAAACTCCCAAAATTTGCGACTGAGCCCTAGCCCTATTCTCTTCATCATATTATTCCCCAATCAGTTGCTCAGTTTCCTCCATCAACCCTCACATCGGTTCTCCACCATCGGCGACAGTCACAAAGGTAAGAACATCTTCCTTCACCATCGACCTTTTGGCTCTTATTTCTTTATTTCTCCGTGTTATTCCTCCTTTGGTTTGATTTCTTTGCAGCATTTCGTTTTTATTCATTTTGATAGCACTAAATTTCTATCCGATTTTCTGCTTATTTCTTCATTTTGATTCAATGGGCATTGTTCCTTTAATGCATTTTTAGAACCCATGTCCCGAAAAGTTGAATAATTTGATTTAATTGAAGCACCGTGCACACCGTGGGTCTTTGTATTTTCTGCAATTTGTCCATTGTTTAAAATATTTCCTGCAATTCGTCTTTATTGCAGAGGAATTACTCTACATTGTGCCATTGAAGAGTTTGGTAAAATCAGTGTTAATCAGGGCTGGACATTCTTCAAGGGTACATTCATTATCACTCTGCGCTTTTTCCTTTTTTTTGTACATTCATACGTGTTTTGAGTTAAATGTGTTTTATTAGTAGTATCATTAATCTAATTCAATCAGAGCTGAAGAATATTACCATGATGAAAATTGAATAGAACAATATGGAGAAGATTAAAATATGAAGAAGAAATATAGGAAAACTCTAGGAAGTTGTACTATTATTTTAATTTCATGAAACACTGCTTCATTGTAGACTATACTAAGCACTAACAAACAACCAACAAATCGAAAACTAATGTTTACTACTTGTGTATTATACCTTGAAGAACGAATGTTGGAATCTTATTATGACGATGCTTCACGAACATATCAAGTTTACTAACCTGTGAAAGAACATATCTAAACACTAAACTTCACAAAGGTTAATAGTACATCGCTAATGCAATGTACAAATCATGAATGTAAAAAACATAAGCATACTAACAGAGTATACGGTGAGCAGTAGATGTATGGTTCATAATTAAAGACATGTCATGCTTATCATCGTCAATATAAGTCTAATGCTTTTCTTAGATCGCAACTAAGGGCCCAATCATAAACTATCATAACAAATAAGTAGCAAGGAAATAATATATCAAAATCATATTGATACTGAGATTAGTGAACAGATTGTTTGACCTTTTTAAGACACATGTGAACGATGAGAATTGACTTAATAAGGATAAATAAAATTAATTAGATGTATTAATACATTAAATGATTAAAATACCTTTAAGGGTATAAATTAATAAAATATTTTCATGATAAAATTACGAAAGTAATCCTATTAGACTAATCGACTAAAATGATGGCTCAAATGCATAAAATGAGTAATTGACATAGAGTTCCAATGCTCTGCCTTAGTGGCGTAAGGATATTTCTTTGTTGGCCTAGTAACGTAAGTAGGACTGCTTGTTGGCCTTAGTAATGATAATGTGATTGCGTGTGTGGTCTTAGTGGCAATTTCTTATATCCATATGTAATGTATTTATCTAAAAACTCTTAGTGGTGATTGAAATATGTGATTATCTGTGTGTCTTTAGTGACAAATAAATATTTATCTACATAGACTTGGTGGTAAGATGGAAAATATATATGTCTATACTTACAGTCTTAATGACAAGATATATTCGAATATTCATGATTATATATGTATATACTTAATTCTAGATGAGATTGAAAGATGATATTATATTATTAATAATGTTATTTGATAACGGCTTGACAACTATTGATGGAAGTTCATGGCTAAGCCCTTTAGTTACGAACTAGAGAAAGCAAGAGACTACTATTGTTGAGCAATATAATTGATTGACCATAAGCATGCCATTCCTTTAATTTATGAATCATGTATATATTTATTGTTCATTGCATATATCGCTAGCATGCTTATGTTTATGAATCTCATGATATATATATGATATATAATAAACAAATAATATACTATTGAGCCCATGAAACTCAACATTTGGATATATTCATTGGCATATTAGTAAACTGTGTAGTTAGAGGAACATTATCACTTTAGGATTTCTATCATCCACTTTTATGGTATAACATCTGAGCACTAGAGTGGACCTGTATATTTATAGGACTCTTAGATGTATTTGTTTTGTAAACAATATTTATTTTTTTGGGTTATTTTAAGAAATATTTGTAAATAGAGCTCTAATTTGTAAACATGTTATAAATGTTTATGTAAGTTATTCCTTGAAAATATTTATAATTTCATGTTATGCCCAAGAATAATTTTTTTTAAATAAGGTCACTTCGATGATCCAATGTGCTAAACTATTCTAATTTTTTTCATGCAAGAAAAATAACACAAACATAGGATTTGACCTCTCAACCAAAATCTCAGTCTCAATCTTCCCAATTAGAAGTTAGTCGTTTAAAACAAAAGTTGGCTGATATGGATCAACAAATGGCTAACATGGAAGCGGAAAATGAAGCAGAGGAAGCAGCGACAGCACAGAGAGAAACAACATATCAGCAGAGATGTGAAGAATTTGAAAAACGACTCAATGATATGATGCAGATGCTACAGAAAACTCAACCTCAAAATCCACCATCATAGTCTCATTTATGTTATCATCATTCTGTTAATGTTACTGAACCGTGTTTAACTGAACTTATATTACGTTAATGAAAAATTTTATTTATTATATTAGATTTGATGTTGCTTGTTATTGATATAGAGTTTGATGTTATAGCTGTTATGTTTGTTGGATAATGAAACGGGTTGACAAAACAAATTTGAGGTAATCGACAATAATTTTTCAATTGGTTAAATTATGTGTTATTTAGCAGCGTTTATAACAAAAACGCCGTAATATGTCACATATTTAGTGGCGTTTGTATCAGAAAAACGCCGTGAAATATTAACACCTATTGCGACGTTTGTATAAAAAACGCCGCTATGTACCAACTTTTAGCGGCGTTTGTATCCTAAAAATGCCGCTATATAGCGACCTATCGCGGCCTTTGTATCCTAAAAACGCCGCTATATACCTAACCTATAGTGGCGTTTGTATCCTAAAAACACCGCTATATACCTGACCTATCGCGACGTTTGTATCCTAAAAACGCCGCTATATTTCAGTCCTATAGCGACGTTTTTTTACCCTAAAAACGCCGCTAAATACCAGACATATTACGACGTTTTCATAAAAAAATGCCGCAAAATATCAACACTTATTGTGGCATTTGTGATAAAAACGCCACTAAATATTGACACCTATTGCGGCATTTTTAAGACAAATGCCGCTAAATATCGGTACATATTGCGGTGTTTGTTAAACGCCGCTATATATCGTTACATTGTGGCTTTTTTGGTTAAAAAACGCCGCTAAACTTTAGCGGCGCTATTTTCAACGAAGCATTTTGCGGCGTTTTTCATACGCTGCATGTGTTTTTTACGGCGCTTAAAAATGCCGCTATAGGTAAAAAAAAAAGACCGTAAAAAACCAGTTTTGCTGTAGTGTTTATTCGATTTAAAAGTTAGTTGCATGGTAATAACTCATTTAGTATAGAGACCTCTAATACCTTTTTGCCTAAATTAATATTGCATTTATCATAACACAATCATTTTTTTATTATTGAATAATTAACTCGACCACAATCACACTGATGTTGTCTTTGCTTCCCCTAGCCATTCAGAGTTCAACCAACACCGTGGCAGCTCCAGCGTCATGGTTACGGTTTCTGTCGACGATCGAAGTAGATTTTCTGTTAAGTCGGCTGTTCAGACATATCATCGCCACTCAACATGCGATTTCGTTAGACACGACGTACCGCAGGCCATCGCTAGCTAGTACGAGGAACTCGTCGTCGTTGACTAACGCTCTTTCTATTACTTCTGGTTTGCATATGACAAATGGTTGAAGGTATTGATCGCCTGCATGCAGTCAAAATTTGCTCCCCCGTGGTGAGGAAACAAAAAGTTGGCTCATAGTAAATGATATATATTAATGTACAACATATGAGATGGTGATTTAACATATCATCCATTATTCACCGTAGGACTATAAACTAGTCGAGCTTAATTCAAATTAAAAACTTTAAAATGAAGCTCAATTCAACTCGAAAACTTACGAGATTAATATTTTTGAGCTCGATTCGAATTCAAATCATAAATTGAAGCTTGTAAAAACTCAAAAAAGAAATCTTAAATTTAACTCGATTGAATCTTCAAACTAAACTAGAACCTTAACCTTACACACATAAAAACCATTATTATATTTTTTTCAAATCAATGCATAAATGTTAATATTATTGATAATTTTTTTTTTAAATAAAATCTTAATATATTATATTTTTGAGTTGTTATTGAATTTTTTTTAAATTAAATATTAAGTAGGTAATTTCGACTCGTTAAGAACTCAAGTCGAATATTTATCGAACTTTGACGAGTCAAAAACACAGCTATGGAGTCCCTGCAATTCGCCACCACCAACTTTTCGCCACCAACTACCGCCACAACCGCTGTCGGACCCACAGTCTCCTCCCCCAACCTCCCTCGGCTCACCTCTTCATCAATCTTTTCGAAACATTTGTTCATCGTCCTTCCGCAGTCAATACCATTTCCTTCCACCACTATCTCCTCCACCAAAAGTTTATGCAACCTTAATTTAGACTCCTCCGCCACCCTAGACCTGCCATTTTCGTCGTATACTCCGTAAAAATCAAACTTTCCACCTCCTTTCACCGTCAAACCTAACCCTACTTTCACAGCATCTTCCATCTCTCTTCTCCTACCAGTAACCGATACTACCCCATGGGAGGCTAAACTCTCGAGATAACGTTCTCAAACAAATTATTTCACGAGATAATGATCTTCCAAGATTAATTGCTCAAATAGGGTGAAATCTACAGTGTTGGCCGTAGGTCGCCATGCCATCCGGGAGACCTATGAGAAATATTGCATGTGCCATGCATGTTCCAACACGCTGGGCATCCGAGGGCATCCGACCGAGGGCATCCGACCGAAGCTATCTGAGCGAGCTATGCGAGGGCATCCGAGTGCAAGAGGAATCACGCGAGGAGAATGAGGGAGTGCATGGTGACCTACAAGGTCGCCAGGAGTGCATGGCGACCTACAAGGTCGCCCGGAGTTCATGGCGACCTACAAGGTCGCCCGGAGGGATTGACGACATATGCTTGGGGACGTGCATGGCTGGCCACGTAGTAAGTCGCCCGGAAGGCATGGCGACCTACGACCAACACTATAGATTTCACCTTATTTGAGAAATTAATCTTGGGAGAGCATTATCTCGTGAAATAATTTATTCGAGAACGTTATCTCGAGAGTTTAGCCCCCATGGGACCTGCACGTTGAAGTTGGAACGTCGTTGCTTTCTCCGCAAGTTTTCTCCCCAAAATCAGCCAAAACGATGCTTTGCTTTGATGATCCATTAAGAAGATTCTTGTATTCATCACCGTCTGCCACGTGCTGACGTGCACTTCAACGTACTCCGGCGAGATTTCTCTGTTCAGGTGAGTATAAGCGTGTTAAAACCACCGGAATCTGACGTAATTAGCATCTTCTCCTCCATTCTATTCTCATTTTTTCTGCATAAAACCGAAAGGCAAAGCGACAACTGGACAAGAACCAGTGAAGGTTTGGTCGTTCATATAAATGAAGCATTGAATTTAGGCTACTGGTATATAAATGAGCATTGAATTTAGGCTACTGGTACGAAGCCACGTGGCCTTTTCCGTACAACTGAACCATATTATGGAACATGATTTGGTTGGAGTTGAATCTGTCGGTCATTGATTCGGTTACGTGGCATCTCGTTCTTGGGGAAGGTTATGCCTTTTGGGTATTGTAAAAAAAATTATTCTGATAACTTTTTTATGGTTAAATTAGATATGTAGTCCTTGTATTTTAATTTGTAATAATTTTATACCTCAACTTTTTAGAATGACGATATATTTTTCAAATAATAATATCGGATATTATTATGATTAAAATATTACCATAATTAATTTTTTTTTAAATATTTCTTTCGATGTAAAAATTCATATTTTAATGGAAAATATATTTTTAAAGAAAATACATGTCAATAATTTAACAGTAACTAATGATATTATAAAAACTAAAGGGATAATTAACTTATTTGTTAACATTAGGTCTCGATTTCAACATATACAACCTCTTTCTCTAATTAAAAATTGTAGAAGAATAAAATTATATCAAATAGAAGTGCATATGCTAATTCTTAATATATGAGCATTAAAGAGGGACTAAAACCACAATTTGTCTGAAAGGTTTTTTATTAATGTGTTTCTCTGAGAAGGAATAACACGTGTTGGATTATGCTAAGTTGCATGTGGGGGTTGGGTTGGGCCAGGTTTTACAGGACAAATGTTTTTTTAGACATGTCCTACGAAAATCTACTCATTTACTAGGTAAATGATTTTTAGGAGGTTATTAGAATGTTTAAAGATGCAGAGATTAACCTACGAATGAATTTAAGTTGTAAGAAATTTGATATCATTTAAGTAAAATATTATATATTTTTAGGTTATTAGAATGTTTAAAGATGCAGAGATTAATCGACGAATGAATTTAAATAATAAATAATTTGATATCATTTAAATAAATATTATATTTGAATTTGTATCTATGTAAAAAAATTCTTATCGAGAGACACACCCCTAAATCAAATTTATAATGGATCGATTCGGATTAATTACAACAAACTCTAGAATCAAAAGGACAACAAAAATTGTAAAATCATAAAAATTAAATTAGAAAAGAATTATAGTTTATATATGAATATAATATGTTTAAAAGTTTAGGAAAAAATTATAATTACAAGTGCTCGTGTTAGTTGGGGCACTGTTTGCGGGCTTAAGGTGAAGGGAGTCTAGGGTTGCATGATCTTGTGGAGTGGAATAATGCTAGTATACTCGAGTATGTGTGACGTTAGTGAGGAATGTTGGGACCCTTTGGGTAAGGTGGGTAGTGAATATGTGTTGAATGGTAGTGTCGTTTCATGGATTACATTGATAAGGCTTCTTGTGGTTGGTTTTGGAAGAAGTCAAGGTAAGGGTATAGCTGCTCGGTTTATCGATGCTGAAGGTTGTCGGAGGTTTCCAGGGCAGTTTAGGGTTAAGGAGGCTTGGCAGGAAATGGTGAAGCATGATAGGGTGATTTGGGAGGCTTGTTTGGTTTCCCTTCATGTGTCCCCGGTTTACTGTTTTTTCTTGGCTTGCGGTCCTGGACAGATTGCCAACAAAGATATGTTGATTAAATGGGGGTTGAACATGGAGGGTAGATGTGTTTTTGCTCGCACATATTGGAAACTCGTGATCACTTGTTTTCCGAGTGTGAGTTTGCAGGGGCGGTGTGGAGTGCGATCTTGCAGCTGTGTCAATTGTCGAGGCTGGTGGGTTGGGGCCAGGCTTTGTCTCGGGCGATTTCCAAGTTTAGGGGGAGGTCTCTCCTCTCTACGTTGTTGAGGTTAGTTTTGGGGGTGCTTTTATATAGGTCTGGAAGGAGGAATTACAGAGTGTTTGGTGGGGTTGGAAGTAGAGATGGCAAAAAAAATCCGAATCAGACGGGGAAAACGAAAATCGAATTAAACGGGACGGAGAATCGTTTATGCTAAACGGAGACGGGAAAACCGTTTATGCTAAACGGGGACGTGTTTGATAATCCCCGCCCGGATTACCCGGCATGATACCCGGCCCGATAAATATTAAAAATAATTATATATATATATATATAATATTAATAAATTTAATTTAAATTAAAATATATATATTATTGATATATTTAATTAAATATATACCCGGCCCGATATCCGTTTAAATAACCGTTTATGCTAAATGGAGATACCGTTTCCCCACAATTTTTCCTGATTACCCGATGAGGATCCCCGTTTAAATCCCCGCGGTTTTTTAAGCAGAGACGGGTATGGGTTTTTTAAACGGGGACGGGAACGGAGAGACCAATACCCGGCCCGAACCCGGCCCGTTGCCATCCTAGTAAGGTCCTGGTGAGTGAAATTAAGCAGGATGTGATTGGTGGGTGTGGTCTAGAAGGACACGGCTAAATGTTAATCTTTGTGCTGCGTGGGGGCTAGTTTAAGCTTTATCCCTGCTTTCTAATTCTTCTTGTGGCATTCTTTGATTTTTTTTTTAAATTTTTTGCATTCTTTTGAGTTCTTTGAAGCTGTATTGTGCTGTTGTTTGGGTTTGTTGGGTTGTTGGTAGTGTTTTGTCGTAGCAGATCTCTGCTTTCTGTGTAATGAACTTTAGTAATAAAAAAATAAATGCTAATTATAATTTAAAATTTAAATTGATGGTCATAGTTAAAGAATGTTTAAGGTTGTAATTGAAATTAATTGTTCCATTTAAAACTAGATATTTAACAATTTAACTCAACAATCGAATAATAATAACTTTTATTTTCTAAAACAAACGATGCAAGAAACTATACATTATTGTTTCTTTAAGAAAAACATTAGAGTTGGACCCCCACACAAGCTGGGTAAAAACTATAAATAAAGCATCCCCTGGTGGTTACAAAGGATTCCATGCTTCAGTTCTCACTGTGTCTCTGCCCATACATGCAACAATTTTCTTCAAAAACAATTCCCCTCTTAAGGTATCGAACTCGGCTTTTTTTTTCAGCTCGATGTCGAAAACAATAACAATCTGTGGATCAGCTATGTCAATTGTTTGTTGCTTCTGGGAAAGGACTTGCTGCCGCTTGACGGAATCTTGAGTCTCGCCATTGACGCTCGTGTCCTTGTCTTCACTAGTCAGGTATCTCAACTTGTGCGGCAGTTTGCCTTCCCTCTGAGATTGCCCACACAACTAATGACTGGCCACGCCGACAGTCTCCAGCGGCAAAGACACCGTCCACATTCGTTGCAAAGCGGCCGTATTCTGCCTTGAAGTTTGACCCGATTATCTTTCTCGACACCTAATTTTTTGCCACTGTCTGTTCAAATCAAAGAGGAAGAGAATTGATGAGCAATGCTCAAACACTAAATGACTTTTAAGGACGCGAAAGGTAAAAGGAAATCAAAAACCTAAACATGACTGGGCATTCAGGTTCACTAGACGAGGCATTAGACCTGATTTCCAGACAGAATTACAAAAAGGGGCAGTGATCACAATACTGACCGATTCAGGCCCGAGGAACCCCATGGCTAGCAGCACTAGGTCAGCCTCGATTATTTCCTCGGAGCCCTCAACTTCCTTGAATTGGAACTTCCCACTGGCATCCTTCTCCCAACGCACGCGAACGACCTCAAGTCCTTTAACAGTTCCATTCTCATCTCCAACAAACCTCTTGGTCAAAACCTCATAGGTTCTTGGGTCTTTTCCAAATTTGGTAGCAGCTTCTTGGTGCCCATAGTCTACACGGAATACACGAGGCCACTATGATTCCAAAAGGAAAAGAAATGTGTTAACAGTCGGATTTCTAGATCATTTAAAAGTTCAAATTGAAAGCAACAGCATAGAATCATCAAGAAACGAAGAATATACTGTCAAACCTGTGGCCAGGGATTTCCAGGAGCTCTCGTCTGAGGTGGCTGAGGAAGTAGCTCGAGGTTGACAATGCTACTACATCCATGTCGGATAGATGTCCCTATGCAATCTGTACCCAGTGTCACCTCCACCGATGACCACAACTTTCTTTCCCTTAGCTGATATGTAGTTTCCATCTTGGAGATCACTATCAAGCAAGCTTAGTATTTGCATGTAGGAACTCCATTGCAAAATGAACACCAGATAATCCCGTCCTGGTACAGGAAGGTCCCTGCATCAAGCAAATAAACACAATCAATTCTGCAGCCATGTAACAATTAATTTTATCATTTAGGTACTATTAGTACTTCTTTCAGGCCAAGATGCCATTGTCCGATTGTAAAGGAGTGAAAATGCTTAAAGCTCTCAAAAGATTTATCAATAACCAATAGCTCTCTTTCTTCCCTCAAAGATTTACCTGGGTTGGTGGCTCCAACTGCCAAAACAATGGCATCATTCTCCTCTCGTAGTCTGTCAAGAGAGTAGTTCAGGTCGTTTCCAATATTTGCATTGACCACGAATTTAACTCCTTCCTCAGCCATGAGGTTCACCCGACGCTGAACTACGTCTACCTTATCAGCCTTCATGTTAGGTACACCATACATCATAAGCCCTCTTCTATCAGCACCTCATACACAGTGATCGAGTGACCCATTCTATTTAGCTGATCAGCAGCAGCCAAACCAGCTGGTCCACTTCCAAATAGCAATGCTTTTCCTGCAGAAATAAATGCATACAAAATTTTACTTTACTGAAAGCATAAATTACTAATATCAAGCTTGCAGAAATGCGAAGTATCTCCTAGCCATAACATTTCAAATTTTCACTAGAACCTTATTAAATGCAATGTCTACAAGATATATTTACTGAAGTGAAGGTTTAACACAAGCCATACCCTGTTCTCTTGAGAGGATCGTGGCACCATCCACCCTTCCTCGAAAGCCCTGTCTATGATAGCACATTCAATGCTTTTGATGGACACAGGATTTTCAATAATACCAAG